AAGCTAAGAGCCATTAAGGATGCATTACCTAGAAAACTCGTGTTTTAGCCAGTTTTTCCTCGGTGAAGTGAACCCATTTCAAATATTTACAAATTTTCACTTGAGTACTCTGGAAGGTCGYYACTATAATTAAAATTCTAAATTATTTTTGCTGTTTACTGAATAGAGTTCAGTTCAGCAACTCGATTTCATAATCATATGGTTCAAATTGTTTTTGACTTATACATGTACTTTATTCCCAAATATTAAGTTCCCTTTTCGTACGTGAAGTTAGGAGGAATGAATCAGTTCATATTTACTCCAAATCGACGTTTCCATGGTTTCATACTTGCTTTMTGCGTTGCTAGGCAATAGTGACGCGCTTYTCATCTCAGTCAGACGCAATAGATAAGATGTAGAGCGCCGCGGTGGTATTTGACTTATTTGCGCAAGCAAGGAAATTACATTTCCACTGGAAAAAATCGATCCAAATAAGAAAAATAAGAAGCTGCAAAAACAATTATTGAAATGATTTCTTTTAAATTTTTGGAGCACTTTCGATGATAATTTCTTCGCCAAATGAATAAAACCTAACGCAAAGGAACCATTTGTTTCAAAAAAAACCTGAAAAAAAAAATTGTGAAAAAATTGTAAAATACAAATTAAACTTAATTTACAGACTAGAAATTTGAATTGTAGAAGAAGTAGATGAAGTGTAAATTAACTAGAATGATAGACACTTTCAATTAGGAAATTGATATTTGATATTTCCACATGTAATTCGACATTTTATCAAAAAAAAAAAAAAAAATTTCGACAAAATGTGACAGTTGTGAAAACCAATATGCACATTTGGTCACATTATTGTGTTTTAATGATTTTGTATAATTCTCAGTCCTCAAAGGAACAAATTCCAGCGACAGTCTTTTGAATAAAAGAGGTGTAGTCCAAACAGCTGTAGAGTCTTTTGAATTCTTTAATAGAGGCATACTATGTAAGTTAGTATGTCAGCCGTTGAGCTTCACAAACCATAAAGACCTTCTATAGAATATAACTATAAGAATGACATTGCTTCATCATGTTCGACTTGAGTTATAAATGTCTATAGTCGCGCAGGGAATCAACGACAAAGCTAGGCAAAAGGATGAACAAAACCTCGCTGCTTTAACTACAAAACAACAACCACAGCAGAAAAGCAAACCAACATAACACCTTAAAATAAAATAGGCTAAAATGAACCAAAATTAAAGAGCAAAATACTCAAAGGTCGGACCAACCAGTCCCTGATRATGCTGTACTGAAAGTTCGGAGTAATTTATAGTAAAGATCTACACTCAGAGCGCAGCTTCGGCTACGTACACATTCGTTCAATCGTCATGGTTAAGTTCCTGTTTTTATTCCATKAATTCCTTAATTTTTCTCACTGAAGGGAAAGTACACATGGCTCTTATTTTTGTAGACATAGAACGTCAACTTTTACTGCGGAATTTTCCTTGTGAAAAATTCAGTTACTTTGAATGAAACATGTTATAAAGAACAATTTGTATATCATTGTTTYTGTGATTTTAGTTCTAAACAGCAAAGATACATATCAAATTGTTATAGATACACGTTGGGATTAATAAGTCAACATTACGAGAAGATAAAAAGTCTTTTCCTGACACATCCAATCTCATCCATGATTGTCACTCACGGAAAAACTGCAAGTATTAAACCATAAAAAAAACTTGAATAGCGAATTCAATATAAAGATATACTCAGTATTGTTTTTTAAATATAATTTCGGGGTATACATCGAGAGTAATAAAGTGTTCAGTGTCTGACATTTAGTTGTAAAAGCACRTGTAACCCCRCCCTTTTGAAAAYAAGATCTGCAATTCACGTGTCAGAGGTCGGACAAAATGACGCAATTTTCCTGACAAATTGACTGTAGATAATGCCTACTATTTTCAATAATATGGGGATATTGTAATAAGATCAGACTCAATGTCGCTTTTGTCAATAATCCCATGGGTTTTGTTTTATATTTTTTAAGTCTGATGAACATGATCATTACATATTGAATACTATATAAACCTGATCGGCTATAATAGGAAAATAGCTCATTAGAGGAAATAGATGATATGCGAAATTTGTAATTCCATTTTTTAGATAAAAAAATCAGATTA